ATACATTTAATGCACCCAAAAACTTAAAAAAATAAAATAAAAAAATAATGATGATGAAGATAATAATAATAATAATTTAAGTTAAGTGATAGCAAACAAAATAGGTATAGGCAGATGTGATGTTAACACTTCCATTGACGCTAAGATCCCCACTACGAGGGGTTTTTTTTTTTTTTATTGTGTTAATTTTTTTGTTTGATTTTCTTGGCTTTTTAACAACGGTTTTTTTTTTTTTTTTGTTTTTAGTAATTTTTTTATGAGGTTTCTCCTTTTTTTTTTTTGGTTTTATTTATAAAATAAAAAAAATTAAATTCTAAAAAATATAAAATTTTGATGACTTATGATTAAGACGATTATTAAGATGATTACCGATGATTGTCAATAAATAATTAGTAAAATAAAATAAAATAAAATAATAAAATGGTGTCTACATTATATATTTAAATTTATATATCATATATTTTCAGTGTATAATATTTTATACAATCAATAAATGACACAATAAAATATTATTAAAAATTAATTTTAAATATGTAGTTAAAGATAAAGCATATTTGTTTTAATTTTAAAATTAATTTTTTATAAAATATTATTATATGTTAATTGACAATGATAATACATGAAAATAAATTTTATATATATATCTTATCTTTCATTATGTTTATAACAATTACATCCTATAAATACATTAATTTCTTAAAATAACAATAGTAAGACTAGCTGATAAACAAGTTTTCATTTTTGCAGTTTATTTTGTCCATTTCTCATAAAAACTTTTGATGATTGGCGTTAATTCATAAAACAAAAATACGTTAAAATATACTAACAAAAGTATAAAACCACTTATTTTATGTACTTATATATCAATAAAAAATTAAAAGGTGAAATAATAACGAGATGTACAGCTGTAAAGTAGGTGCCATTTCGAAACCATGAATTAACGTCACCATGTGCGACTGCACACCTGCATTGTATTATTAATGCGCTCTGCTCTTTTACCTTGTTTCCGTATATTATTGCCGTTCCGTGCAACATGCTCTAATATGACTTGTCACATACGAAAGTCCTTGGATTCCATGACGATTGTCCTGCATTTGTGGGACCATGCATGTGAAGGAAAAATCAGACATCTAAAATAAAGCAATAAAGGAAAAGGATCGTGGCCAGGAGCAATGCATTGCTTTTCAAAAAGTTTCCAAATGCTTTCACAAAGTTAAAGTTGATTGGAATCAAATTTCTCTTCATGGACAATAATTTCCATCAACCTTATCTTATAGAAAGAAAAAATCATCTCAATGATTTCAAATATCTTTTTCTCAATAGCTTCTTCTCACAATTTTTTTCACACAACTTTTTTATTTAAAAAGCAGAGATTAAAAGCTTTTCTTAAAAAAAAGAAAGGACAGGGTATATATACTAATAAAAGATACTCTACATGCAACAAAAATTTCTTCTTATATTTAACAAAATTTTATTTATATGTTCTCATATTTACGAAAGAAAAAGTAATTTATCAAGTAAAAAAAACAAAGGGGTAAAAATTAATTAAACTTATCAATACTATAGTTTGTATACTTTTATGTACGAAAGCCTCAAATTCAAAAGTTGAATGAAAATGGGGGGTTAAATAAACCAAATTCTCAATGAAAATTAGAATATGCAAATAGTTAAAATGAAATATCTAATCATAGTGGAAACTACATGTAATTACGGATAGGAAAATGTTAGTGTGAACTAGCTCTAATGTATAATATTAGATCTGAATAATCTTATTCTAGGAAAATTTTAATCATTAATACACGGAGGTAAAGGACCACAAAAAGCCGCAAAATTTGCATAAAATTTTAATCATTAACTCTAACTCTATATTTATTAGACAAAAAGCTGCAAAATTTGCATAAAATTATAAATGAAATCTAACTTATCTTCAAGGACAATAATTTCAAATGGATCGTGTAAATCATATAGATATATATTGCAGTTGTTGACAGCACTGATCTTCAAGGACAATAATTTTAATGAATCATATCAATCAAATATATAAATGTTACAGCTGTTTGACAGCACTTGTCTTCAAGGACAATAATTTCATTGAATCATATCAATCAAATAAATAAATATTGCAATTTTCGCAGCACTGTTTATTTACACTTGTAGATTTTTTATTGTTCTTTATTTATTTATTTATTATTTTATTATAAAAAATTTTTATTCGGTGAAGCCATGGCTTTTTTCTTGCGAGATTTTTTCTTTTAATTTTAATTTTTATAATATAAATTTAATTGTAAAATATTTTATAAAGTAGGATCCACTGTTTCTCACCGTTTGGCTTTTTATTTTTTACATTTTTTTTCAATGGAGCCACTATTTTGAGGTACTACTTTTGTTTTTTTCAATTTTATTTTAATATATATTTTTATTTTTGTATATTTTATATTAAAAATTTAATGCAGGATTCATAATTTTTTAGACCTTTTTTTCTGTTTGCTTTTTCAAAATTTTTACTTTCTTATGTATTTTATTTTTTATTTATGAGAATGATTATTTTATTATTTTTTGTTTGACTTTTTTTGTGCTTTCTTTATTTTTTCAGTAAAATTTTTTTATTTTTTGAATATTTAATATATATTTTTTAATTTTTTAATATTATTTGATACTATTTTTTATTTTTTTAAAAATTTAATTAATTTTTTTATATTTTTATCAAACCCACTTGACATCAACAATAAGTAAAAATTTTTTTCAGTTCTAAACTTTTTTTATTTTCTACTTTTTATATATTTTATAATTTTAGAGTTTTTTTATTAACTTATTTAATGTCAAAGGTATGTCACGTTTGAATAATCTAATTCTTTTTTCCTCTATAATTTGACCTTTTTAATTTTTTATTGATATATAAGATACATAAAATAAGTGGTTTTATACTTTTGTTAGTATATATTTTAAGTTATTTTTGTTTTATGAATTAATGCCAATCATCAAAAGTTTTATGAGAAATTTGGACAAAATAAACTGCAAAAAAGAAAACTTGTTTATCAGCTAGTCTTACTATTGTTATTTTAAGAAATTAATGTATTTATAGGATGTAATTGTTATAAACATAATGAAAGATAAGATATATATAAAATTTATTTTCAGGTATTATCATTGTCAATTAACATATAATAATATTTTATAAAAAATTAATTTTAAAATTAAAACAAATATGCTTTATCCTTAACTACATATTTAAAATTAATTTTTAATAATATTTTATTGTATCATTTATTGATTGTATAAAATATTATACACTAAAAATATATGATATATAAATTTAAATATATAATGTAGACACCATTTTATTTTTTATTTTATTTTATTTTACTAGTCATTTATTAACAGTCACAGGTTATCATCTTAGTAATCGTTTTAATTTTAGGCCATCAAAATTTTAAATTTTTTGAGATTTAATTTTTTTTTTATAAATAAAAAAAAAAGAAAGAAAGGAGAAACCTCGAAAAAAAATTGCTAAAAACAAAAAAAATAAGTTGTTAAAAAGCCAAGAAAGTCAAATAAAAAAAATAACATAATCCAAAAAAAAAAAAAAAAACCCGGGGATCTCAAGGTCAAAAACATAAAAAAAATTTTTTTTATTTTAACCAAAATTGTGAGCCTCAATTTACGTTGTTCGAAGTCATTTCTCGCGAAATGATAATAAATTTAAATCGTTGTCTTGTAGAAATTTAACAACAAAAATTTTTCACAATAATCTTCGTTGCACATATTCCAAAATCCTTATGAATTTCCGTCGATAAAAAGTCCTTTTTAATGACTAAAATGTTCGACTTATTATAGTGTTACATATATATATATATATATACATGAAAAATAATTAATCTAAATTTTATATTATTAATTAATTTATTAAAAATTTAGGTGAAAATTTTCAAATAAAATTTATGAAGTTTTTTATTAAAAATAATTTAATAAAAAATAAAATTAAAAATCAAAACTAATAGATTAAAATATTTTTTTATATAAATTAGGTTTATAGATTTAAAAAAATAATAAAATTTTATATATTTTCACATAAATATTTTTAATAAAAATTTTAGTTGATTTTTTTAACCATTGAATAAGCACTTATGAACTTTAAATTATAAAAGATATTTTTAATAATGTTTCCCGGGTAGTTGATCTTCTCTTTGTACTTCTTAATATATTGATTTTGATTTTTAATTTTTTTTGGTGAAGATAAATTTGGAATAGATAAATTATTTGATTTTTTAAATTAAAATAAAATATATCATATTTAATAACTTAAAATAGATAATTTAAATTATACATATTCAAGATAACTTAATAAATAATCACTTATAAAATTTAAATTTAAAATTTTATCGTCAAAAAATATGATTTTAATCTATTATAATAATTATTTATTGATGATTTTTAATTTTAATTTTGATTGAATCATGCTTAACAAAAAACTTAACGAATTTTATTTGAGGGACTTCATATAAATATTTTTCATTTTATGTATCTTATATCTCAATAAAGAAAATTTAAAAAATTAAAATAATAATGAGATATACAGCTGCGAGTACACCTGTTCGAAGATCAGGATCTATGTCCAAACGTGAAGATCTACTCAAATTTTAAAAAAATTTAAATAATAAACTTCTTAAATAAATTTGGACATAAAATTTTTTTAGATCAAATTAAATTTTGAACCTAATTTTAGATAATAAAATTCAAATTAGAGTCAGGTCAATTCAACTCAAATAAATTATATTTAGTAAAAATATTATAATTTTATAAATTTATATATATATGTAAATTTTATTTTTATATTTTATTTTTTAAAAAATTATTATTTATTATATAAATTAAATTTAATTGATGAATTTATGCTTTTTTTTTTAATTTGAATCATTTTGAAAAAAAAATTTGAAACCATCCTTAATTTGAATAAATATATAAACTATAAATATCGAACATAATCCGAACCCGACCTGGTACAAACCATAAACACCGCTAGCTGTGATTTAGCTGTCATTTGGAAACCACGAAACCGCTGTCTGGATAACCTGCTTTCTATTATTAATACGTTCTGCTCTTTCCATACACTTTTACATTGTCATCTTTAAATCTTCATATTGGTTAGCTTGTTTAATTTTCGCACTTGTTCGAGACTAGAATTTACAACTTTAGCTTCCTTTTGGTTCTATGCTCGTTTAGTCGTTTCGTCTGGCATCAGTTTTCTCAAAGTGTCGATCAATGTTTATTTTTTTTTCAGGTAAGCCTTGTATAAACTCACTTGAACTGTTCTAGTATTTGATTATTCCAATCAAATTATTATTATTATTGTTCTAAATATTGTTGTTGTTATTTTTGTCTCTTCTGTCAGTAAGGCTCTACACTTAAGGATTTGCTTCCGTTAGTATTTTTGGTCATAACCACTGTTATTTGTAGTAAGTATAGAAATAAGTATATCTTTTAAATCTTTATGTATAGTACCAACCACTAAGCAGTATTAATTTGTTTCCAACTTTCTTGCTTTTCCGTTTCCATTCTTCTTGCAGATCAGAATTTAGAACTTTTCCCCTTTGATTCTCAGCTTGTTCGGCATCAGTTTTTTTCATTTTTTTTCAAAAGTTGGGCTTGGAAGAAAATCCCAGCTGATCAATGTTTTTCCTTTGATACTTCAGGGGGGAGGTACGATTTTTAAACTCAGTTCCGTCGTTTTCATCTTTTATTATAATTAATTATACTCTGTTACGAATTTTTTTTTTTTGGTTGTTGTTATTCTTATTGTTGTCTCTTTTGCCAGTGAGTGTTCTGTTTTTAAGGTGTTGCTTCCATCCTCGGTTGTTTTGTAGTTTGTTCTGCTTCACTTCTTTTTAGAAAGAGAAAAAATGAATGGCTCTTATTTCTATTGTTGGATCCATTCTTGGCTTTCTTGCTGTGAAAGCGGCCATATGGTTTTTCTAATTAAAAGCTTATTAAATATCTTCTTATCAAGAGCTTCTTCTTAAATATTTTATTACATAACTTTTTTATTTAAATTCCAAAGCCTAAAACTTTTTCTCAAAGAAAGAAAGGGTATATATACTAGAAGATTCTCTACAAACAACAAAATTTTCTTCCTATATTTAACAAAGTTTTATTAATGTTCCCATATTTATGAATGAAAACACATACAATTTTCAACAAAAAGTAATTTATCAAGCAAGAAAAAGAAAGTGGTCTAAATACAAAAATTAATTAAACTTGTCAACGCTATAGTTTGTATACTTTTATATATTAAAGCCTCAAAACTCAAAAGTTGAATGAAAATGGGAGGTTAAACCAAGTTCTCAATGAAAATTAGAATATGCAAATAGTTAACGTGAAATATCTAATCATTATAGAAATTACAGCTAATTACGTATAGAAAAATGTTACTGCACTTAAAGTTTTAACTACAATTAGATCTGAATAATGCTATTGTTGCGAAATTTTAATCATTAAAACACGGAGGTAAAGGCTACAAAAGTTTATTCAAATTTAATATGTACGTTAGAGCTAATATGTTAGAGCTTTTTCTCCCGTGTCTCATACCCGTCTTTCCTGGGAGAAAAAAAAAACATAGAGATCCAAGTCTTCGCTGACCGACAAGGACATTGATTGTACGTTAAAATTAGTAAAAAAAAAAAAGGACAAAAAACAAAGATAAGAAAGAAAAAGCATTCATACCTGGAACTTTTTTGGAAAGAACTTAGTTATAGTTTGTAGTCAACAATGAGATGCTTTAATCATTATCAAAAAAATATTATTATAATAAAGAAAATATAGTTAGTTTACTAAAAAGTAAATAGCGGATAAGTGATTTCTAATATAATAAGTCAAGATTAAATTAATCTAATTTATTATTTTATTTTAATAATTGAATCAAATTTATTAATTAAAATACAGGGGAAATTTAATTCAATTATTTTTAAATCAACCAAATAATAAAATAATTTAAATCAAATTATATTTAAATTTTAATTTCTCTTATTTAAAACAAATTAAATAATATCACAAAACAAAATATTTAAATACTAAAATATTAAATAAAAAACTTTATAATTTATAAATTAAAATAATCTAATTTCTATTATTCAAAAAAAAAAGGAAATGACCTGTTCGTATAATTTTATTTTATATTTAAATTTTTTGTATTTTGATAAACGATCAGTTAATGGATGAATCCATCTCTAAAAATGGATATAAGGACTTTTATCGACAGAGATTAAAATAAAAAAATCCTAATACAAAGGGGGGATTTTAGATATTTTAAGATATTTACGACAGGATTTTTACATCTAAAAAATTTCGTCACCTAAAAAATAGTTCTCATGAAAAATTAAACAACAAAAAATTTTCAAGGATAATAGAATATACGACGATAATTCAATAAATTCAATCATAATTAGCACATATTCGAAAATCTTTTTCATTTTCATTGATAAAAAGTCTTCTTTTCATGACTTAAAAAGTATCATACTTATTGTAGTGTTATATATATTTACATGAAAGATAATTAATTTAAATTTTATACAATTAATTTACTTATTAAAGATTTAGATGGAATTTCTTAAAATGATTTTTGTGAAATTTTTTTATTAAAAATGATTTAATAATGACTAAATTAAAAATCAAAATTAGTAGTTGAAAGGACTTGTTATATAGATTTAATATATAAATTTTTTAAAAAATTAATAAAATTTGATGTATTTTTAAATAGATATTTTTAATAAAAATTTTGACAAATTTTTTGCCATGAAATAAATACTTATCAATTGAATTATAAATAATGTTTTTAATAATGTTTAACGTATAATTGATCTTTTCCTTGAAATTATTAATATATTGATTTTGATTTTATATTTTAATTTTTATTAAATCATGTTTAATAAAAAAATTTTACGAATTCCACAGATTTTATATAAGTCTTTTCTATTCTACGTATCTTAAATCCCAATAAAGAAAATTTAAAAAGTTGAAAAATAAACGAGATGTGCGGCTGTGATGTAGCTGTCATCTGGAAACCATGAAACGCTGTCTGCATAACCTGTTTTCTATTATTAATGCGTTCTGCACTTTCCATGCTCTTTTACCTTGTCATCTTTAAATCTTCATATTAGTTAGTTTGTTTAATTTTCACACTTGTTGGAGACCAGAATTTACAATTTTAACTTCCTTTTGGTTCTATGCTCGATCACTCGTTTCGTTTGGCATCAGTTTTCTCAAATATTGCTGTTGTTTTTGTTGTTTTTTTTGCCAGTGAGGCTTTGTTCTTAAGAGATTTGCTTGCTGTTAGTATTTTCGGTCATAACCACTGTTATTTGTAAGACTAGTAAGTGTAGAAATAATATATCTTTTAAATCTTTATGAATGGTACTAAGTAGTATTCATTTGTTTCCAACTTTCTTGCTCTTCTGTTTCCACGTTACTTCCTGATCAGAATTTATAACTTTTCTCTTGATTCTCAGCTTCTTCGGCATCAGTTTTTTTTTTTTTTCTTTTTGAAGTTCGGCTTGGAAGAAACTCCCAGCTGATCGACGTGTTTCTTTTGACTTAAGGAGGAGGTACGGTTTTTAAACTCACTTCCATTGGTTTCATCTTTTATTATAATTAATTATACTCCATTATGAATTTTTATCTCTTGTTGTCATTGTTGTCTCTTTTGCCAGTGAGTGTTCTGTTTCTAAGGAGTTGCTTCATCACCAGACATTCACTTCGATTTTCCACCATTAATTTGCGTATTCCATTAAAATATGGAATCCATTGTTTGTGACGCTGCTAATAAAGTTGTGGAATACACGTTTGGTGTCATCAAACGTGGGTTTGTGTACGTAATATATGTTGACAGCAATGTCCAGAATCTCAAGGAGAAAGTTCAAAACCTGATGCATGCCCGAGAGAGAGTGCGGCATGATGTTGATGGGGCCAAAAGAAATGCGGAAGAGATTGAAGAGGATGTCCTGAAATGGATGGCCGACGTCGATGAGAAATTAACTGAAGCGGGTGGGGACAAGTTGAAGGAGGATGAAGAGAAAGCCAAGAAAAAGTGTTTCATTGGGTTGTGTCCTAATTTCAAGTGTCGTTACCAACTTAGCAAGAAAGCAGAGGAAGAGGCGCAGGCTATCGTTCAACTCCTGGGAGAAGGCAAATTTGACAAAGTTTCGTATTCTGTTGCTCCAGAAGCGATAATAAACAAAGGTTACGATGCCTTTGAATCGAGAACAAGTGCCATGGAGGAGATTATGAATGCCTTAAGGCAATCAAGTGTCCCAATAGTTGGAATACACGGGATGGCTGGTGTAGGCAAGAGCACCCTTGCGAAAGAAGTTGCTCGTAAAGTCAGGGAAGAACGCTTATTTGACGAAGTGGCAATGGCAGTGGTTTCACACAATCCAGTCATAAGACAAATTCAAGGAGAAATTGCTGACATTTTGGGCCTCAAATTTGATGTTGAGACTGATGGTGGAAGAGCAATGCATTTACGGAAGCGAATAAATAATGGCAAGAGGATCCTCATAATTTTAGATGACCTCTGGCAGAAACTCGATCTTGAAGCTGTCGGGATCTCATTTGATAATGAAGCCGCTCAAAAATCTTCAATTGCTGGAGTTGGAATCTCATTTGATAATGTAGCCGCTCAAAAATCTTCAATTGCTGCTCAAAAATCTTCTACTGCTGGATGCAAAATATTGCTGACTTCCAGAAGCCTCGATGTGCTCCGCCTTATGGATGCTGAGAGGAGTTTCGAAGTCAAAATCTTATCTCAAAAAGAATCAAAGATTCTGTTTGAAAATATAGTTGGTGAAGCCGTTGGAAAATCTGATGATTATCAACGTATAGCGGATGAATTGGTGGAAAAATGCGCAGGGCTGCCAGTTGCTATTTTAGCAATTGCAAATACATTGAAAAGAAGGGATCTTCCGCATTGGAAGGATGCCTTGCGGCAGCTGCAGAGATCAATTTCATCAAGCATAAAAGGGGTGAAAGACGATGTACATTACACTATAGAATTGAGTTACAGATGGTTGATAAAGGAGGAAGCACAATCTCTGTTCCTGCTTTGTGGCCTGCATCCTCAAGGTTTTGATATTCTTGTCTCTGATTTGCTACAGTATTGTATTGGGTTGGATATGCTGAAAGGCATCAAAACTGTAGAAGAAGCAAGAGAAAGAATTGATGTACTAGTTGATATGCTCAAAGATTCTAGCTTGTTACTGAAGGGAAAAGATAACGAATGGGTGAAGATGCATGATCTCATTCGCGATGTTTCCCTTTCAATCGCCTCTAAAGATAAGCGGATGTTGGTCATAGAGGACGAAAATCGTATGAAAGAACTATTGAAGAAGGGAAAACCCAATGACTGCACTGCTATCTCATTGCTATACAGTAATATTCATGAGCTTTCTCGTGTGGAACGTTCGAAATTGGAGCTACTCATGTTGCTGAATAAAGATTCTTCTTTCCAAATCTCAGACACTTTTTTTGAAGGCATGAATGAGCTGAAGGTGTTAAATGTGACTGGTATGAACTTTCCATCTTTACCTTCATCATTTCTTTCATTAACTAACCTTCAAACGTTGCGTTTGTATCAATGCAACTTGTCTGAGATAGCCATCATAAGGAATCTAAAGAAGTTAGATATCCTTAGCTTTCAGGGTTCTAGTATTAAGCAATTGCCAGTAGAGATAGCAGAATTGACCCAACTGAAATTATTAGATTTGAGTGAATGTTACAAACTTAAAGTGATCCCAGCAAACGTCATGTCAAAGTTGTCTAGATTAGAAGAGCTATATGTTGGCAACAGCTTCTGTCAATGGAATGTTAACGGAAATGCACAACTTCCAGAGTTGAAGAACTTGTCTTGTTTGTCTGCCTTACATGTATTTATTCCTGATGCCCAAATTATGCCAAAAGACTTGTTCTCTGTGAAGTTGGGAAGATACAAGATTGCCATAGGAAATCTTGATTGGGATTTTTCTGGGTGTGAAGCTTCGAAAGCATTGCAACTTAACTTAGATACTGGTATTCATTTAGCTGAAGGGATTAAAATGTTGGTAGAGAAAACTGAGGAGTTACGCATAGAGGAATTCAAAGGGGCCGAGAATGTGCTCTACGAGTTAGATAGGGAAGGTTTTCCACATTTGAAGCATCTCAGAGTCGTTAATTCCTCAGACATGAAATGTATTATTAAGTCCATGGGGTCGGCTTCGCATAAAGCATTTCCTGTTTTAGAGTCATTGGAGCTTAGAGAGCTAACTGTTTTGGAGAAGATATGTGATGGTCAACTCAAAACAGAATCATTTAGCAGACTAAAAACCGTAGAAGTTGCAGGGTGTGATAGATTGAAGTATCTTTTCTCAGTCTCCATAGCAAAAAATCTCTACCAACTTCAAGAAATTCGCGTATGGAAGTGCGAGAACATGAAAGAGATAGTTGTAGAGGAGGAGGGAAGGGAAGAAAATGTTGTAGAGTTTCGTCAGTTGCGCTCTTTGGAACTGCGAAATTTGCTAAAATTGAAAAGCTTTTATTCCATGGAGGAAACGCCTTCCTTAATAGGACAAGGAGGAAGTGTATCAAGCACAAATATGGTTCCACTTTTCAACGGAAAGGTAATTCATTTACTGATTTCTGATTAATTAGTTTGTTATTTGGTAAAACTGTGGTATTGTTTATAGCTGTTTTCTTGAATATTGGCTTTCATAAATTCTAAAGGTTGGCAAGAATGAGTAGCACAATACAGTCTTCCCCTAAATTCCCCTTTCAAAATTTGTGTTGTGAATACTTGATTCTCCACACTTTTTTTTATCATTTATTCAAGATTTGTTTCTTTAAACAAAATCGTGTGTTCTTGATACAAAAACGTTTTTGGATTTCCTTTCATATGATGCATCATAAGTTTGTTATATTTGTCAATCAAATCTTAATTATTTTAACGGCAATATCTTATGATGAGTTTTTAAAATTTCACTCTCGTATTCGTGCGAATCAAGAATGCTCCCATTCAAATTTTCTATTTCAAATACATTTTATTAAATATTAAATATTAAAATAATATTTTTATATTTTTTGCTATAATATAATTTATTAGTTTACAATTTTTCATTTTTCATAAAATATAGGTATTCTAAAATTAAAGCTAAACTAAAAATTTAAAAATCTTTTTGAAAATATCGCATATCATTTTAAAAACAAAAAAATCATTTTATATTAAAAATATTATTTAAATAATAAATCATAATAGAAAATATTATTTTCTATTAAAAACATCAAATATCTTTTTCATTTTCTCTTTTCTAATATATTTTATAAAATATATTTTATAAAAAAGAAAAAAAGGAAAAAATAGAAAAATAAGAATAATTACAGAAAAAATTGATTTTTTACATTTCATATATATGTTATAATATATTATAATTTAAAATAATTCTTTATTATGATATTATTATCAATAAAAAACTAATTTTAATAGAAAATAATTTTTTTTAAAATTAAAATTTAGTTTAAAATTTGAAAATCCCTTTGAAAAAACCTTCTATATCATTTTAAAACCCAAATAGAAATTTTTATATCGATTCAAAAAATTAATTAAAAAATTTCATATCATTTTAAAAAGAAAATTATTTATGTATTCAAAATATATTTTCTGTCAAAAAATCTTTTAAATATATTTTTATTAAAATTTTACATTTATATAAAATAAAAATATTATTTTCAATAATTTCTTCTCTTTGCTAGATTAGAGTAGTAAGGTCGGTTTTAATTGTCCATTTTTAATTGTTTATAATTAAACATAAAATTTTAATAATTTGGATTCAAAATATTTTTTATAAGAAAATAATTATGAATAAATTAATAGGATCAATTTTTTAAAATGATTGGAAAATGATATTAGATTACCAAGCTAAATTGAAGCAAAATATAATATATAATTTTAATTATTTCTTGTATTTTATATATACTTTTAGAGAAGTAGAGTTGTATTGAAATAGTGGATAGTAATTGCATTTCTTAATTGTGTGGATTTCATATAATTTTTCAAAATCAGTCACCACTATTACATTTTTTTATGAATTTATTTTAATTTTGAATAATAATAATTAGGGAATTATTAAAATAGATCAAACATATATATATGATATTTTTTGCAGGTGTGTTCCCTGCCATAAAGGAGGTTGGTATTACGATCATTGAGTAGTATTGGAAAACTATGGGATGATCAGTTTCCAGCTGCTGTAATGTCTTTTGGTTTTCAAAATTTATCAAGTTTGGAAGTGGAGAGCTGTCATAAATTGAAGTATGCATTTCCTTCCTCAATGGTTAAAAGCTTTGTGCAACTGAAAACACTTGTTGTAAGAGAGTGTGAGGATATGGAAGAGGTAATAGCAGTCAGTGCAGAAGAAGAAACGAAAAACATAATGGTGTTTCCTAAACTTAACTCCTTACAGCTTGGCGATCTTCCCAATCTCAAAAGATTTTGCTGTGGAATTAATCCAATTGAATTCTCCATTCTAAGGGAACTAGAGATAAGTAATTGTCCTCTTCCTAGCACATTCTATTGTGACTCTAGTACAAGTGTTGGAAAGAACAGCAGCAGCATCTCAATGGATCACATCCTCCAAGTTGATGTATCACATTGTCTATTCAATGATAAGATAATTTTTTATTTTTTATTTTTTGAACATCCTTCTGCATATAGTTCTCGATTAATTCTTCTATTTATAATTCTAATATTGAAATTAATTTTTCACCTAATTTCTAAGATTCAGTTGATTACCCATATATCTTTTAAATTCAACTCAAAATTACTCATATATATATATATATTTTCAAAAGTAAATTAATTTAAGTACTTATCCCAATTTTAGTTGTTAGACACTTAGACTTTTGAATCAGGTATAGCAATTCTTTAGCAGACACTGACAAAGCATGGGCCATGCTATTATTTTACCGATCCTAATTTCTAAAGGATCCTTTTTATTGGAATTTAATAAAAGTTTTAGTTTTTTTTTTTTTTAGCCAAATTTTATCTGTAGTTGATAAATTGTGAAATTTTCATAAGGAAGTTGATAGTTTTAAAATGTAATTATTTAATTAAATGTGTGTGTATAAATATATATAATAATAATATAAGAAAATATTACAAATTTAAACAATGTTTTGACATATAAATATTTATTGTATGTATATAAATGAGGTTAACAAATAAACTTATAAAAGAAATTTTGATACGAAATGTAAACTCGTTGCAAGACTAGTGAAGTAACAATGGCTAGAATATCTCTACTTTTTTTTTTCACTATTTTTTGTTATTTTCTTAATGTATTTTATAATTCTTCATTAATTAATTAATTCTCCCTCTAGTTTTTAGCTCAAAACATTATAAATTTTATTGTCTTCCAATTAATGGGGACATTCCAACATTTTAAAATTAGAACTTTACAATTAAAAGTCTTAATTATTTGAATATTGAAGAAAAATGAAATTTATGAGATAAAGGAAAAGTCTTTCTTTTAAAAAAAAAAAAAAATCTTAAATGTAGTGGACATTTACATGTATGAAAAATATTTAAAAATTTTTAGTTTCTCAACTTCTCTTTTACTAATATTTTTTGATAGGTGTTTAAATATAAAATTTGAAGTACAAATAATTTAATTTTTGTAATATTAATTTATAAATTATTCAATACAATTAATTTTTGGTACAAAGATTGCAGTTATGAGATATAAAAAAATTATAAGTATTAAAATTTAAATTTTAAATATAAAAAATGTTATTTTTAAAAAATAATTACATAAATCATTTAAAATAAAATTTGAAGTTTAATACAATTAAATTTAAATAATGCTATAAAAACCCAAAAGAGAGTTATACGATACTTGATGAAATAGGCATGAATAGTAAATTTTCCTTTTAAGAAAAAGATAAGTGATTACCCTTTGCAATCTTTATGATCATTCTCTCTTTTTTCTTTATTTTTTATAGTTCTAAGTTCTAACAACCAATAATAGGTTGCTTTACTAGAAAGAAATATCAATCTTTAACATAAAAATAAAGAAAATTATATTGAGAACTAAAATATTCATTATTAAAAAAGCATAATTGAATTATATAACATTACAATATTTTTGGGCAATCTAACTATTAAACTATCCATTAAGACATTTTGGCCATTAAGAACTAGCGGGTAACGCTGGCCACGAGGAGTGGAAAAAAGAAAAATATAGATTGTTTTCAAATTTGAAACAAAAAATTTTCAAAATCCCTTTATCTCGACATTACAAAAATTATTAAAATTTTCTTTACCTAATTAAATAAAAAAAAAACCTAAGCATAACTCAAACTTATTACCAAAAAAATCAAATCAGAAATTAAAAAAAAAAAACCATCACCAAACCTAAGCCACCTTTAACACTGTAAGAAACGCCAGAATAAAAAACCAACTCAACAAAAAATAAAAGCAAAAAATTGCAGAAAACAAAAAAAAAAAGGATTTAATTAAGGTTTCAGTTTAAGCCATTTTGAAAGGGTTTGGGCGTTCAAAAGGATAGAAAGAAGAGGAAGAGAATGAAGACAGTTCGACAGGCTAAAAGGGTGGCAATGATAACTTAGAGTTCCATTTTTAGGGTTTCGTTATGAAGTTTTTTGAGGGGATTTTGAAGGAGGATGGTAGAAGAAGGATGGAGAAAGTGATCTAAGATGGTTTCAGAGTTTAAAAAAGACAGAATGAGGGATTTCTGTAGAAAAAAACCGAGCTTTAAGATTGTAGATCTATGTTTTTTTGGGTATTTTGGAAAAAATAACTACATAATTGGAAACAGAGAGCTAACAGGAGTGGATAGATTTTTTTTTTTTTTGGGGAAATTGACGTTAGAAATGGTATGCAATGGCGTAACAGAGGAATGGGCATCGAAACCTAGGTTTTGTGGCTATCTATTTTCTGACGATAGGAGAGAGGCGGCAAAAACTAGAGAGAGAATGGGAAGGAAGCGAATGAAGAAGTCAAACTATTGTTAAAAAAAAAGGTACATACTTTCGGTGATAATTAGTTGATAATAATATTTTAAGTAAAAGATGTTATATATAGCCCCATACGTGATTTTCTCGGTGATGGCTTGGTATAATCACAAATCATCAAAGTAAATTGTAATTTTATGGACAATTACTTAATCATGTCATCGAAATAAAAGTAATAATTTTAATCAGGTTTTCAATTTTAAAAAATATAATTGATAATTTAATTATGATTTGTAAGGTAATAAGTGAAGTTAATATAATTTTAATTTTTAAATGTATAATTTGAACGTACTAACATTACATGAATAAAATGGAAAGAATAAAAAGACATTACAACAATATTACGGTTCTTAATTTGTGTAGATTTTATATCATTGCTCAAAGCCAATCATCAATATTACATTTTACATGAATTCTTTTTAATTTTTGAATAATAATTAAGGAATTGTTGGTATTATTATATCATATGATTATTATTTGCAGGTTGTGTTCCCTGCCATAAAGGAGTTGGTATTAGAATCAATGAGTAGCATCGAAAAACTATGGGATGATCAGCTTCCAGCTGTTGCACGGTCTTTTGGTTTTCAAAATTTATCAAGTTTGGAAGTGAAAAGCTGTCATAATTTGAAGAATGTGTTTACTTCCTCAATGGTTAAAAGCTTTGTGCAACTAAAAACACTTGTTGTGGTACAGTGTGAGGAAATGGAAGAGATAATAACAGTCAGTGCAAAAGAAGAAAGGAATAACATAATGGTATTTCCTAAACTTGAATCCTTGGATCTCTACTTTCTTCCCAATCTTAAAAGATTTTGCTATGGAATTAATCCAATTGAATTCCCTGTTCTAAGGGAACTAAGGATATTCAATTGTTCTCTTCTAAACACGTCCATTGTGATGTACAAGTATTGGAAATGAAGCAAGAAAGGTAGCAGCAGCAGCATCTCAATTCCAAAATATCTATTTGATGAAAAGGTATTTATATTTTTCTCTTTTAACGTCCCTTAGCATTTTTGCAATATCAATTCTATTTTTAAAAATCTTGAAAAGAAAATTACATGAATAAAATGGAAAGAATAAAAAGACATCACAGCAATATTCCGGTTCTTAATTTGTGTAGATTTTATATCATTGCTCAAAGCCAATCATCAATATTACATTTTACATGAATTCTTTTTAATTTTTGAATAATAATTAAGGAATTGTTGGTATTATTATATCAAACATAATATATGTATGATTATTATTTGCAGGTTGTGTTCCCTGCCATAAAGGAGTTGGTATTAGAATCAATGAGTAGAATCGAAAAACTATGGGATGATAAGCTTCCAGCTGTTGCACGGTCTTTTGGTTTTCAAAATTTATCAAGTTTGGAAGTGAAAAGCTGTCATAATTTGAAGAATGTGTTTACTTCCTCAATGGTTAAACGCTTTGTGCAACTAAAAACACTTGTTGTGGTACAGTGTGAGGAAATGGAAGAGATAATAACAATCAGTGCAGAAGAAGAAAGGAATAAAGCAATGGTGTTTCCTAAACTTGACTACTTATATCTCGACGGGCTATCTAATCTCAGAAGATTTTCCTGTGGAATTAATCCAATTAAATTTCCTGTTCTAAGGAAACTAAAGATAACAGAATGTCCTGCTTTGAGCACATTTCATTGTGATTCTATTACAAACGTTGGAAAGAGCAGCAACATCATCTCAAAGGATCACAAACTTCAAATTGATGTACCACACTGTCTATTCAATGATAAGGTAAGTTTTTATTTTTTTTTAATATCTCTCTGCATATAGTTCTTGATTAATTTCCCTATTTATAACCTTAATATTGAAATTAATTTCTCGCTTAATTTCTAACATTCAGTTGATCAAGCATTTATTAAGCGAGAAATTAATCCAAATGAATTTTGGAAATTAATTTTTGTCACTTAATAAATAGCTTAAATTAATTATTTAACTGAAATTAACATTGTAAGAAACATCACAATAAAAAACCAACTCAACAAAAAATTACAAAGAAAAAAAGTAAAAAAATGCAGAAAACAAAAAGAAAGGATTTAATTAAGGTTTCAGTTTAAGCCATTTTAAGGCGGTTTGAGCATTCAAAAGAATAGAAAGAACAGGAAGAGAATGAAGACGGTACGACAGTGGCGGCAATGATAATCTTAGAGTTCAATTTTTAGGGTTTTATTATTAAGGATTTTAAGGTGATTTTGAAGGAGGATGGCAGAAGAAGGATGGAGGAACTGATCTAAGATGGTTCCAGAGTTTAAAAAAAGACAGAATAAGGGATTTCTGTAGAAAAAACCGAGCTTTGATCTATGTTTTTTTTGGGTATTTTGAAAAAAAATCACTACATAAATGGAAAGAGGAAGCCAACAAAGAGCGTATAAATTTTTTTTTTTTAATATAGGAAATTGATATATATTAGAGATGGTATGCAACGGCATAGCAGAGGAATGGCCATCGAAACCTAGGTTTTGTAGCTATCTATTTTCTGCTGATAGAAGAGAGGCGGCAAAAACTAGAGAGAATATGGGAAAGAAGGGAATGAAGAAGTCAAAACTATTCTAAAAGGAAAAGGTACATACGTCCGATTGGATATGGAAGGCCACCCCATTTTTAGGCCATTTGACATCTTTGTTTTGTGTTAAAGTGCAAGTACTAAGTTTGGTGTAATTCTTTTAAACAAAAAAAAACTACTTTTATTTTATGTTAGCATTAATAAGAAAACTAATGATTTCTATGATATTTATTATCAATATGAAATTTTGATACTTAATAATAATAAAAATAAAAGCTATTTTTTCTATTAAAAATATATATATTTTTGAGATTATATTTTGAAAGATGATTTTATTTGACAATTATATTGTTATTATTAAAAAATTTGGTAGCATGAAATTTGATATATTTTGAATACTATAAGTAAATATATACATCAAATTATACAATAAATATAAATAATTTTAAATATATAAGTTACACTTGCAAATGCATTTGTTTATGCAATTAGTAATAATTAATTTTTATGTAATATTAATATATACTCCATTAAAAAATAAAAAATAAATATTATATAAATAAATTATTATTTAATATAATTTAACTTAAAATTATTTTTAATTATTAATTAAATTGATAAATCAATAAATATTGCAAAATAAAACAAGATGACCCCAGTGAAGTAAGGTAATATTCTAGAATGTAATGAAAGAAGGTAAAGTTGTATTGAAACAGTAGATACCAATCGTATTTCTTAATTTATGTAGATTTCATATAATTTTTCGAAATCAGTCCTCAGTATTACATTTTCTATGAATTCATTTTAATTTTTGAATAATAATTAAGGAATTGTTGATAATATATCAAACATATATGTATGATTATTATTTGCAGGTTGTGCTCCCTGCCATAAAGGAATTGGTATTAGAATTAATGAGTAGCATTGGAAAACTATGGGATGATCAACTTCCAGCTGCTGTATTGTCTTCTGTTTTTCAAAATTTATCAAATTTGGAAGTGGGGAGCTGTCATAAATTGAAGTATGTATTTCCTTCCTCGGTGGTTAAAAGCTTTGTGCAACTGAAAACACTAGTTGTAAGAGAGTGTGAGGAAATGGAAGAGATAATAGCAGTCAGTGCAGAAGAAGAAAGGAATAACAGAATGGTGTTTCCTAAACTTGACTCCTTAGAGCTCAAGAGGCTTCACAATCTCAAAAGATTTTGCTGTGGAAATCCAATTCAATTCCCCGTTCTAAGGGAACTAAAGATTTGGATTTGTCCTATTCTGAGCACATTTCTTTGTGATTGTACGAGTGTTGGAAATGAAGCAAGAAAGAGTAGCAGCAGCAACATCTCAATCCCAAAATATCTATTTAAAGAAAAGGTATTTTTATTTTTCTCTTTTTAATGCCCCTCTGCATTTTTCCAATATCAATTCTCTTTTGAAAATCTTGAACTTCCCAACTTTAATTTCTAAAATCTTGTCTGGTATCTAAATAAACAAAATTAATAAACCAATTGATTTTTAATTCAATAATAAAATAATAAAAATTAATAACAAATTATCACGTTAATAATATTATACAAAGTCATCGTGGAATATGTCAATTTTTCAACCTTGCACAGCACATAAAAGTGATGAAATATATATAATCCAATTGCAAGACTAAAATGTATATCTCTGTACAGGTGATTTCCCCCCCTTTTTTATGTTATATTTTCTTCAATTCTACTGTACTTTTATATTAATTATTTATTTTATATGTATATATTAATTTTGCATACAAGTGAATGGTATCACACCTAACTAATAAAAATAATAAGTAAAAAACATGTAACTAATAAAATGTGAACATCTTTTTTTTGAAGAATCTAACAATGGAAATGCTAATAACATATAATAAATATTACTATAATTAATATCGAAATGAAATAATTAATTCAATAAATAATTATATTAATAACTTTGCAATGTAGCAATTCTATCAGGTTAATTTCAAAAAGTAAAAATGGTAGCCTTTCAAGGATTTAAAAGTTCTTATATACTCTAATAATTAGTTGATAATAATCTTTTAAGTAAAAGATGTTATATATGGCCCAATATGTAATTTTCTTGGTGATGGCCTGTATAATCCCAAATTATCAAAGTAAATTGCAATGGACAATTAGTTAATCATACCATTGGAATAAAAGTAATTATTTTAATAGGTTTTCAACCTAAAAAGAATGTAACTGATAATTTAATTATGATTTGTAAGGTAACAAGCTAAGTCAACATAATTTTAATTTCTAACTGTATAATTTTAATTTACTAAAAATTTTGTTTTAATGAAGTTTTTAATCTAGAAGCATGCAATTTGACAATTTAATTGTGAGATAACTTGCTAGGTTAACATAGTTTGAAAACTTGAAAATATAAAATTTTTCTTCTTTATAAATAAATTATGTAATTTTTACAATTATTATTATGGAATTAAGGACTATGTCAATAAATCATTTATTAACTATATGTAATTTTTTACTAACAATTTTACCCAAAATTCTTGTCAATTCCTATTGTTTTTTATAGCTTTTTTTATATAAGATAACTTTAAAGCCTTTTTAACTTTTATAGCGTTTCTGATAATTTTTATACTTTTTTTTTTATAATCTTTGTTTGCACAATCAAGTAATCTCAAGTAACATATATTATTATTTCACCCAATCTTTGGAGATTGTTTTTATCAATGCACATTGATGTAAAAAAACAGTAACCTCTATATAAATGATTATTTTATGTAACTGTCATCTAATTTTAGTAGCATTGAATATTCTTTTCAGTTATATATGTTGGCTCAAGTAACATTTAAGAATATTCTAAGATAAATTTTATTGGATCTTTCAGTTTTGAACATAATTAAACATAAATTCGTTAGTTTGAAAAATGAATAACTTATCCTAAACTTTTCAATTTTTGGGGACAAATAAGTTTTTCTTTTAGTTGTCCATTAGTTATTCAGTTAAAAACTTTATTTAAAAATTATTTTACTCTTGAAAAGTTAATATCCTCAAATACTCATAAGAAGTAATATTTTATAATAATAAATATTTTTCTCAAAATATATCAAAACTATTATTAATCAAAAAAGATTTTTTTAGAGGCAACATATTAAAACAAAACTTATAATTATAAGTATGCAAATATGTAAATATATGTATGACAAAACGAACATATTAAGTATTTACTATTATTTTAGCATGTAGTAATTTTTCAAAAAAAAAGGAAAATGAAGAATATAATATATAAAAAAAAGTTTGGCTAAAAAATGATAATAGAATATTTGTTAATAATTCGATTTTAGTTATTATACTTGTATATATGATAACTAAAATATCGTGAGTGATAACAAATTATTCATTTTAAATAAAAAATCATTTTGCTTAAATAGAAATAATTTTTATTACTATATATCCATAAATATATAGAGTAAAAAATAATATATAAATAAAATAAATTTAGATTTGAAGGATAATTTTGTAATTGCATAAATTCTGTTAATAGAGTTATAAAATATGGGGTGTGTTGTACATTTTTTAAACAAATAGACTTGTGTTGAATTATTTTAATAATTAATGACTTTAATATTAATAAAGAAACAAAAATTAGTTAGTATTTTTAATTTAATAATAATGATTAATTAAGGACAAAACATTTACATGTAGGAAGAAATTGTAAAAATTTCTTAGTTTCTTAACATTTCCTTTCCTTTGCTTGCGTTATGTTTTCCAATATGATATTTAGTTACTAACGAAACATTCAAATGAATTATGTATGTATATATAGGTAGCGCTTCCTATGCTACAGCACTTGGAAATTCATTCCATGGAAAACTTGGAAAGGCTATGGCCTAACCAACTTGCCGAGCAATCCTTTTCCAAACTAAGTTACTTTGAATTGAAACGTTGTAATAAGCTAGTGAATGTTTTCCCATTGAGTATGTTGACAAGACTTGAAAGGCTTGACAAACTAATCATATGGGATTGTGAATTCGTGGAAGAAATATTTGAACCCCAACAAGCAGATGGTAGTACTGCAGCAGCTGTATTTGAATTTCGACGACTAACATCTTTGGAACTCATAAGATTGCCAAAACTAAAGAACTTTTATCATAAAATGCATTCTGTAAATTGGCCATCATTGAAAGAGATAGAGGTGATTGGATGTGACAAAGTGGAGATATTATTTGGTTTTCAAGAAACAAGTGGAGGAAAAAGTGAATATGAATTAATCCCAATTCAACAGCTTTTATTTTGGGTGAATAATGTATGTTTCAAATTACCAAACTATCATAAAGTTTTGTTTCTAATTACTTCATGAATTATTTTCTTTTTTTTTTCAAAGACGAAAAATTAATTTTGTTTTACTAAAAAGAAAGTTTTTTTTTAATCTTTTTAATATTTATTTACACTTAGATAGCATTTATGATAGATTAATTAATTTTTTTAATATAAATTATGTAAAAAAACTTTGATTTATAACAAAAAGCTAATTAACCTATTGAAATTATAATAAAGGAAAAAAGTTATATATATTATCAATATATATAATATTATAAAAAAAAGTTAAATAAAACGCACTATTTTTTTTTTAATTTGGTATAATAAATATTATTTTCAAAAGGTAAGAACTTAAATATAATATATACAATTTTTCAAAAAGTAGATTTTCACTTAAACAGTAAAAACTTTAATTTTAATCATATGCATCAAAGGTAAGCATATAATACTATATAATAGTAATAATAATAACTTAATGTAGGGCATATAATAATTAAGAAAAGGATTGCTTTAAACAAAAGTCAAAAAATAAACTAATCGGAGTACAATCTCCTTATTCAAGTATACTTAAATAAAAGTATCAAAAATAATTTTACTCAAATAAGAAAGATGAGAATATATTTTGAGTAGAAATTAACTTATATATATTTTATTGTTATACAAATATTAAATTTATAATTAATTTAATTTAAATAATATTTTTATTTTAATTATTTTAATTAAAAAATATAAAATAAAAGTCGTATTTGATTTTGAACCATGCAAAGCGTCCTCTGTCCTTCTAACACATTGTGAATTGTGCAGTTTACATTCCCAACTCTACAACAACTTACTTTTAGATGGAATAATGGGATGAAAGAGATATGGCATTGCTATGCCCAACAACAACTACAACAACAACTACTTGCATCCCACTACTTCTCCAAACTAAAAGTTGTCAGACTTTACGACTTTCCTGAACAATTAGCCATATTCCCATCTTACTTGCTCCACTTATTATCCTTTCCCAATCTTGAAAAGCTTGAAATATGCGTAGCTTACTTTAAAGAGATATTCCCAAGTGAAGGAGTTGGTGAGGAAAAGCCTGCATCTGCATGGTTGCTACTCTCTCGGTTAACTGAATTAAGGCTGAAATATCTTCCTGAATTGATGCATCTATGGAAGGAAAAGGAAGGGTGTCCCAAATTAAAAAATAATTTAGTTCCATCCATATTTTCTTTCAGAAATCTGGTGACTCTTGAAGTTGCAAGATGTGATGGAATCATAAAATTAGTTGCATATTCCACAGCCAAAAGCCTATTGCAGCTCAAAGAAATGAAGGTATGGTCGTGCGAGAATATAGAAGAAATAATACAAGGTATTGGGGATGATGAAGATGAAGCAAAGGAAGAAATCAGTTTCCCCCAACTCAACCTTTTGGAACTTGGGTACCTACCAAAGCTAGAAAGCTTCTGCTCATCGGGGAATTATACCTTTGGATTCCCATCCTTAGTAACTGTAATTCTGGAAAATTGCCCAAAGATGAAGATGTTCTCTCAAGGAGACTCGAACACACCATTGTTGGACAAAGTGCGGTTACATGATTGGGGAAATGAAGAGCGTTGGGAAGGCAACCTTGATAGCACCGTACAACAACTATTCCAAGAAAAGGTATGTTTTCCCAAATTTCCTTATTAGTTAGTATTTTTCAAATTTTCGGTCATCATCTTTGGAGTTGGGTTTTACATTTTGACTACTGACGTTTGCTTTGTCCAATCGAAACCGATTATTCTAAATGAGACAAATGATTTTTGACTGCTAAAGTTAAAACGCCATCTGTTAAATAGGTACGCAAAATTTAGTGGGTTAATCAATGTATATAGAAGAGCAAGAGTACAGTGAAGAGAGAATTATATTTGTATGTGAAGGAGAATGTTGTTATTATTTAAAATTTATAGATTTGTTAATTGATTTGTCACAGAATTGTTGGTGGCGGTGATCCTCACAACAATATAAATTAAAATTAATTCTTCTTTTTGCCTTTTCACTAATATTGCTGCTGCTGATAATAGAATGTTATGGCGGAAGAAGACGAAGAATAGGAAAATGAGAGTTCTGAACATGAAGATGAGAATTCTAAAGAATGTCAAGGCAATCCTTCAACTTCTAACACCCAAGTAAGACAAAATCCTATGAATCTACCATTCATATATATTTAGGGAGGGATCAAGTTACACAAAAAAAGTTTTGCATCTTTTTACACTTTTTTTCTAACCATTGATTTTAATAGATTCAAGATATGAGATTAAGCCTTTTTTTTTTTTACTTGTCTCTTCATCTCTTGGATTCATTGAAATCAATGACTATAAAGAAAGCGCCAAATTTCTAATATTTGTTGTTTTGGTGCAGAATTCTTTGAATGCCGTAATGGAAGTGCAGAATTACATAGAAAATCAAGGCAATCCTTCGACTTCTAACACCCAATGACCCAAGTAAGCCAGATTTCATTCTATGAATCGTCATACACCATTCATAAATATATACCTTTTGTTTCTCTTAACTCAAATGATCCATCTTATCTTCATTACTTGAGTAGGTGTTTGATGCCTTCTAACTAGTTCATGATATATTGCAGTAGAAATTGTTTTAATGTGTATGTGTTTAAGACACCGTGACTCTTATTTTTTCATTTGAAATCAAATTGCTTTGTTTTCATTCATTATGATATTGATGCTTCAAAGAGTACGAAAAGGTTATTTTTTAGTATTTCTCCTTTTCTCAGTCACTAATATTGTTCTTTATGATTACATTGTGATCACATAATGCTTCAACTGCCAAGAAACAAAATGAAAATTTTTTCTATTCATCTTGCGACCGTATAGTTTTTCTTCATTTAGCAAATGGTTTTTCTGTCCTTTGAAGGTGCTTTCTTCATATCAAGTTCATAAATGCAAGGGTTCTGATTCCTATTTCCTTAAACATTGTATGTTCCATTTGATTAACCTGTAAATGTTCACAACTTCTTTCTTTAGGCTTTTATGTTTTCATGATAGCTAATTATAGCTTGCTATTTATTAATGTGATCAACCTTGGAAGTGATAAAATATATACTAGCGACTTCTCTATTTTTAATATTTTGGGTATTGTGAAGTCAAGGACGATAACATTTCTGAAGTCAGAGGATAAGGAAAAATTTCCTGGAGTATCAAAATGACAAGGTTTCTGAAGTTGAGGATCACATACTTATTTTGAACAGAGGCTGAGGAAACTTTTGAAATGGTGAAAGTCAAGGATTATGAAGCTGAGGATATCAACAATTTTCTAAAGAAGATTAAGGCAACCCTTGTTTAATCCTTCATTTGCGGTGATGAAGTCAAAATTCTACTTGTCTTTAGACAATATAGCTCTATCACCATTTTGACTCAAATGCTTTAGACTTTCAACTTTCCTTCATTAGAGGTTAGTATTCTATAAGGTGATTTTTTTTTTTGGTCTTGAGCAAGCAATATTTATTGCTTAATTTAAACATCTTTTGAAGTAAAGACACTGTGCAAGTAAAATGTTTCAGATAGTTGTTGTCTTTGTCACACTTAAACAAACCTGGGAAGCTACAACCTATTTCTTGTTGAAACTTGAAAGAAAGCCCAATTCAGATTTATTAATTTGGATAAAAGTAATCCTTTTGTAGACCTGAATTGATGAAGTTGTTTGTTTACAGGTGATTTTGCTACATTGACCCCATACCAAATTTTGGTATATGGCTGTCACGTGGTGTGCACAGTGCCTACAACAGCTCGTGGAGGGATGGTTTATCCATCCTGTTTAGAACATGTTCCATTTTACTCAAATCCTTGTGCTGAATTCCATTCTGCCTCAGGCTATTTCTGGTGGCCCTACTATGTTGGTGGCACTATTCAGAAGCATGATTAATTTGATATTTTCATAGTGAACAAGGTTAGTCATGTTGGAGTAAATAATTGAATCTTTGACCTACGGTAATTTAAAGGCTTATATATGATTCATTTGATTTTTTCTCTGTATAATATGATATTGAAATATTTTTTATCAACAATATAGCACTATGCCGGTAGCGGGAAACTAGGCAGCGAAAATGCTCCACACAGTTTCTCATGTGTTGAGGGCTTAAGGCCAATCAATCCTAAGGATATTGAATGGAAGAATGGAAGAATGGAAAGAATCCAATCTCCATGGAAGGTGTCCTAGCATTTCCCTCATGTCAAGTTAAGAAGCTGGTCCTTATCGAACCTCTATAAGGCTTACTGATTTCATACTGTTGATCGAAGATACATCCAAGTTAGAACACCTGTTGCAACCGTCTTGGTCCTTTGAAATACTTTTTCGACCAAGAGTTTCAAAGGTTGATAATGTATAAATAGTAAAAACTTTAAAGATTTTATTTATCTTATTTAGTTGAACTATTCAAATAAATATATTTCCGGATGCTTTTTCAGTTCGTATATGAATATTTATGCAATTTTAAACAATCATGTAACTCTTTGCATATTACATATAGTAAATTACCATTCACTCACAATTTCGTTTGGTAGCATAAATGCCTAATCGAGAGACCTTCATTGAAACAAGAGTGGATATAGCATCAAGGTTCCATCGTGTTTTCTTCTTTCAGCTCTGACTTTGACAAACACTGAATTTGACAAACTTGGTTTGAATTGGTTGTATCCTAGAAACAACCATCTGCATCCCACTTTTACCTGCCCCAACCATAAGATGAGAACTTCAACTTGTAATCCTAATTTGGGTATGCTTATAGGCTTAGTATCCTGCTCAACTAGTGGTTTTTTAAATCAGGGAATCAAAAGCTCCATAAAAACCAATATTGACACTAGATTAAGGGTTTTGACCCAACCCAATTAAAAAAATTAATTGAACAAAAAAAGAGAAAAGTATAAGGATCAATCTTTTTTTATATAAAGAAGGGGGTAAAGATTTTGGGTGAACCATTCAAGAGAAAAAGAGTAGACTCAAACCCAAGACCAACAAACATATATACTCCTGTCTACTAAAGCTGTTGCAGATCTTAATGTGAGCCTTGCCAGCATATCAAAACACAACGTGGCTACAAAAAGATATTAACAAAGAGCTGAATAGATAACTTGGCAAAGGGATAGATCACATATTCAACCAAGTTCTCGTGCAGCCATATACAGCTAGCCTCAAAAAACAATTGATCTGCAAAATACTCTATTATGCTAATTATTTATGATAAACTGTTTGACAAAGATGCCTACCGAAGTTCAATCACTTGCAGGCAAACAACAGGAACAGCTGTCACTAATTGAAAAAACAAATGGCATGTCTTAAGCTAGGGGCATGAAAGGACGAATAATCAAACTCAAACTCTCAGCAATAAGACAAAGATGCACCACCAAAAGAATACAGGGATGAGATTGATGTAGAAGCAGCTTGAGGCTTAAAATCTTTCTGTAGATGCATCTGGTTGTAATCTGCTAAAGCATCAAAAGCATATGTGGAATACAATCTATCCACTTTGTTGCTTTCTCTCCTCCTGAATTGACCAATCTCAATCACGTCTACCTTTTGGTTTTTTAAAAAGTAGAGTAAATTGTTCTTAATCACATATGTAAATTTAATGGTCTAACATCATTATTGAAGTCAATACACTTATGGAAACTAAATCATTTTGTGCAAGAAACTTAGCAATCTTTCTTGTTAGTGGAACCTAAGTTATAAAATTGGGTCCAAAGCATACACAAAAACATAGAATGTCCTCAAACACCCAAAGCAGAGTAACATATTCACCATAAAGTCCATATCGAATCAAAACAACATTAGTTGGTTATACCTTCTTAGTCATGTATTTCTACCACTCAAAATTAAGAATCCTACAAGGACAACTCCTAATTGTCAATACCAAATAAAAGCAAATAGATATATGAAGCTATACATTGGACATGGAACAGGATGAAGAAAATATAATCGGAAAGAGAGAGTTCTCCCTTCTTTTCTCCCACATAGAACTAGAAGAACCTTAGCTGGAGAAAACAGAAGTTTCTCCGCTTTGCCTCTCACCTTACATCACATTATCTAGGGATAAATAATGAAAGTAACAAGCAACAACAGCGTAGAGTAAAACACCGTTTCATTTGACTCTTTAATTTTCCACCATTAACGAAAAATCTATTAAAAATTATCAATTTCATTCCAAATAGCTCATGATTGTTACTTTCATTCTAAATGTCTTCTTCAATAACCCAACGAGTCAAAACATATCATTAATGTATTTCATCTCGATGCGCATACATCTAATGAGATCCCAGTAATTGTCTAGGAACTAATAAATTTTCAAAACATTTTAGATAATGGGGTCCCAATATGTCTGATAAAATACACATGAAAATGCACCAAAAATAAATTCAAGTTCCAACTAAACTCGTAAAGATCTTTAAAAAAGGTCAAACAGAATAAACACAGACGACGCCCATATCAGATAAACAGTTATGCCAACTAAGATATGCAAAAATAAGTTCAAAGCTATTCGATTTTAGCTCTAATCACGTAACAATTTTCACAAATTATAGTTATAAATTAAATTTCTTAGCTTTTGCAATCCCCGAAAAAATTTAGTACACATCAAATTTCAACTTTTATCAGTAAACTCCCCAAAAAAATTACATCTTAAATAGCTTTAAATTTTAAGATCCAATTAAACTCATGAAAACGCAATAGCATCATGAATCAAAATTAATCATTCCAAAATAATAAATATAGAAAACCAGGAACAAAAAGTTTTCAAAATTTCGTTACCTCACCTTTTTCTTTCTCTGCAACCAAACAGAAAATGACAAAAAAAAAGTTGCACTCCGAAAAGTACTGCTATGAAATCTGATCTCATAGACATATTACGGTTTTGAATTTGAAAAAGTGAATCTTTAGAAGCAGAGAAAAAAGATAGATTTTCTTAAAATATAACATAAACAAACGGCCAAAGTCTGCGGTCAGATTTCAAAGTTATAGATCGGAAGAAAAAAAAGGTAGCGACTGCTTATATTTATTTATTTTTTAGTTTACCAGACTACCCTTCTTTTTAAACCGAATTTACCACGAAGACTTTTGTTTTTTTTGAGTTTTGGTGCTGATGGTAAGCGGTAAGGATTGTGGCATTGCACTTTTTTTAAATTTGTTTTTACCATACCATTTTAATTGAGCTGGTTGCTACAAAAATATAGATTTGTTTCTGGGTAAATCTCCTTTCAATGCAATTGTTTTTTTTTTTTAAATCACAATTTAAGAAAAAAATAAAAGAAGTGACTACGAGTGCTGAGAAATTGATTCATACTTCAGTGTTGCTCTGCAACCGAAAAAACATTACCCAAAGCTCAATTTACCTTTCAACCAGATCATATATAGAGCAAAATTACACCTAATATCATGGATAACAGATGCAACCAATTTTGTTTCCTCCAAAGAATAAATCCTGAAGGTGACAAGAGTTGACAATGGAACTTGTTTGATCAAGATGCCAAGATCTTGTCTAGGTACAATGTTCTTCAAGAAATCCACCCGAACCTCAACAAAGTCACCACCTAGTTCCTTTGCCCTTCGCATTTGAAGCAGCATCTGATCAACTGATTCTACCATTACTGGCACGCAGATTAATGTCGAATTCCTTTGAGCTCCATCACCAATTTGAAAATCCGTGATTGGCAACTAAAAGAATACCAAAAAGAAGTCAACAAAACAGAAAAGGCAATGAAAAAGCATATATTTTTTATTCAGTTAACCAAGTCAGAATGAAATATTAGAGAATAAGCAAAACCAAAAAAAAAAAAAAAATTAGAATTATGGAGCAAATACAAGCATGAAATGCTTTATATGGCAGCTAAGAAAATTGAACCAAGTAGCACAAACTGAAATGAAGAAAACCAAAAAGCATATCAAAATCAAAAGCAGAATAATAAAAAAAAAAACTAGAATCTTCTAATCCAATAATGAAAGGCAAAGAAAAAGTCATTAAGTTTTGTATCTTCAATCCTATGCAATTTTAAATCGCTAAAAACCAATCAAAACACAAAAAAAAAAGAAAAGAAATCTTATTTATAAAACAAATCAAAGCATTAAGGGTTCTTCTTTTTCATTCCCAAAAATGGAAGCAATTTATAACTTTTGAAGTCAAATGAAAAGTAAGAAACTTTGAAAGAAATGACTAATGGAGAAACCGTTAAAACAATATCCAAGAACAACCCAGAACTTAATATCTTCTTCTCTTTCATTTCTCTTCCCTGTTTTGCATTGTCTCAACAACCAAACAGTTGATCATCAAAGAAAGATTAAAGATCACTCTAAAAACATAACGTTCTTTTTTTTTTTTTCTTTACTTTATAATAAAAACAGAAAGAACAGAAAAAGGGGTGTTACGGGAAAGCTTTCGAGAGTCATGGCTTTCAGACTTGGAGGAGAGAAAGGAGAAGAAAGGAACGAAAGTAGCGAGCTTTCTCTCTTTTTCCTTTGGAGTCTGCGGTTTGGTGGAGGGCTGAGTTAGGCGTAGCCTTCTATCATATAACGTTACTGTTTTTTTAATTGATTTATTTCTTTCCATACTTTTAAATTTTAATTACTAGATATAATAAACAATTTCCTCCCTTTTTTTAATTCAATTCTTTATTTCTTTTCATACTTTTAAATTTTAATTACTAAATATAATAATCAAATTTTCTTAATTCAATTCTTAAAAAAAAAAACGAAATATAAAATACAACACCAAAATTTTAACTTTCCTTGATAACAAAATAATTGTAAATAAAATAATTTTCATTAACCAGTTTTATTTATGTCTTTTTTTTCTTATTAACAGAGGATGACAAATATATTTTGTCAAACTGTCATCTTTTGGAGTTTGGTGAAGACCGCTTGTATTTTTTTTTCTTTCTTTTTTTGGCCAACAATTTTGGTATAAAACCGTGCATTTAAGTTCTCTCAAAATAGCAACTTGGCTCTTGCCTCCATGGTACGTCAAGCCTTTCATGACCATTTTCCTAATATCGTTGAAACTTGAAAGTTAACCTAGCGTGTTCAGTGCTCAAATTTATGAACTGCAAGTAAAAATTTCTCCATGAAGAAACAGAATCAAATAGGAAAAAGATTTAATATCTTATATATACACTAGCATGAGGATGGGATAGGCGACAGAACCTGTTTTCACCTCTTTCTCTGATGAGGACCAT